CTCTCCACCCCCTCTCGACACTATCCTGCCCACACTCTACTCCCTCCCTCCCTGCTGTTGCTCCCTGCCATTGACCTACTTCTTTCAATCAGGCACTACCTTCCTCAGTCCCAACACCTCCCCACTGTGTATTTAATTTGAATGAATGGTTTCACACCTCTTAGAAATGCCTGCACAGTCACACCCAGAGGTGTGCTAGAGCACTCTCACAGTCCTTCTTAAATCCAAGTTCACAGTCAAGACTAGCATCACAGTGTAACTGGAGAACAATGTCAACACAAAAGAAGCGCGCACGCACACAATCAGAGACAAAAATATCTCTGAGTATAGGAAAAAAGGAAAATGCAATTGCAGAAGGAAAAAGAAGCAGTGGAGGGTATAGAATGATGTGGGAAAAAGCATCCACGTTTAATTTTTTTTTTCATAGAAATGAGCAAACATGTTCATCAGCAAAGCATTGTGAGCTATCAGAACTTTAGCAGCCACCTTAATATTACACAGGAAAGTAAGTGAATGCTAGATCTGTTTGAAAATTATAATGCTGTAGGGTTGTGGTCAAGGAATAGTGACACAAACCTCCCTTAGAAGATCAGTCAGCCAAACCCACGACTCACCTAGTGAATCCCCTTTCAGAGGGATCATCCAAGTCCGATTGAGGCTTGTCTCAGATTGATGAGGCCAAAAACAAAAAACAATCCTATTCACCAATGATATCAGTGTTTATAGAAACCCATTGGTGCTTCCTTACAGAATACAAAGGAGGAAGGGGGATGTACTGGCTCTAACTATTTGAATCATATCAGATGACCTATGGAGCTATACAGTATCAGAGGTTGTTAACAAACACAGACTAAGAACAAAGGAGGGAGAATAGAAAATTCAACACATCAGTAGAAAAATATTATAAAGCAAGGAGCTATGCAGTTGAAAACCAAATTGTCAACAAAATTGGGTGACACTTTCAATCAAATTTACTTCACTTTATTGTAGCAAAATTGTTCAACCGACCACTATAGAGAGATGAAACCCATTTTTTTTTGCGTTTGTATCTGGTAACATGAGACATTCAGATTAAAAAACAACAAAACAAAACTGCAGTGTCTGTTTGAGAGATTATAGGCTTGTGCCTGTTACCCCTGTGACCATTAATCCAAAGTTCTCTCCCACCTGTCTGCCATGTCCAACCGAGGTTTATAAACAAGCACTATCTTGGACTTCCACTGCCATTCATTCTCTTCAGCTGTGCCTCAGCACGCAGGATGCTACGGAAGCACTTCCTCAGTGCTGCCAGACTGGCTGGCATCCAGCCTGGACAAATTGCTGATCTTTCCTGCCACACGATGTTAAATAGGGATGCTAGCCGACATTGAAAAAATAGCTCCAGAAGCCACATTTAGCATCTAAAGACTGGCTGATATTTCTTAACTATACATGGTTTGGGTGCTGCAATTCCTTTAATGAATTGCAGTTTGGCCGAGAATCTGGCATGGGAGGAATCCTAAACTTAAACTTAAGGCCTATATATAACTTTGTAAATCACTAAAGACAAGACAATCTGAACTCCAGATGTCTGAACCATAAGCTGAAATTTACAGATCATCGTTCTTTCAGACCAAGGGACTAAGAAAACAATTAATAAGATACCATATATAAACCCAGTCGTACAATACATGCCAATCTTCTGTTTACACTAATACCTTCCTCCTCAGGCTAAGCTTTGCAGAGTGACTGCTTCCTGGTAGGTAGAACACTGGGAAATTCCAGTGTATGAGATCAGTCCCTTAAATATCCACATAATTAGATTTACATTACGGAAGCCTTTGTTGACAGTGCAGCACCCGTTTAGTGCAGGAAGTCAAGGAGAACTTATTGGTCGAGTGTGAAGGACGAGCAGAGTTTCCGAGGAGTAGGAGAGTGGTTTCAGTCCCCCATAAAGAAGGGACAGCTTGATGTGGGCCCATAGGCATTAAGCTGCAGGAAGGTCACACATGTCTTGTTAATCTCGAGACTCTTGTACACGCGTCGTTACTTGAGAGAATGGAGTATGATTCATTGAAAATTTGTCGAGGGAGTGTAAGTGCACATCAACAATAGAAGAGCAACAATGTATAGAGAGGAATGGCCAAGCAGATGCATGTATTTGAGAAAGATGGTAAGACGTGGGTGCAGGGCTCAAGCACATACACACCACACATTTAGACCGCAAGTGTGTTTGCACCATACAGTTGGATGGGTACCACTCTTGAGGGTGGTACCATGTGAATTAAGAGCAGAAAGTGCAGCTACAGTTCTCGGTGTCTTGCTACAGCCTGGAAGGCATGTTGGAACTTGAAAGTTAAAACCTAACTAGCAAGTCAGCTTTCCTCCATGGTTCTCCTTACTCAAGATCGTTCCTGAAGACTCCATGGTGTTGACCCATGCCCTTGGAAAATGATTCTGCCATTAATGGCAGAGATGGCACCTTCACTGAATCCTAACTTCAGGTGGCCTGAGAAAAGTCCATCTGGGGACTTCCAACATGTTCACCTTGATTTCTTCGCGCAAGGACATTAATAGAGTCTAATCATCAGTAACACAGTTCCTTGAATTCTAAATTTCCAACTGGGGGTCTTTTCCAGAATATTTCCATAAAGGCAGAGAATTTATCTTAGCTGAGAATTTATGACTGGATTGAGAGGGTTTATAGCTTTTTAATACAAAACAGTCCAGCTTTTTGGTAACTTTGATGTTCATGAGAACTTTAAACAAAGCAGTGAATTTAGGAAGGGACTTCCTCTGTGAGGCTAATGGATCCTGACAGTGCCTTTGTTTCTAACATTTACAGGGGCCAGTGATGCCTAGAGTTAAGGGCAGATATGATTTGGAGGGTAACAAAATTCTCTGGTACCACAGAAATGGACAGTGCACAGGTAAAAAGGTAGTGGGCACAGCACATGGAGAGCTGAAACCAAGCATAGAGGGATAGCACCATGAGAACCGTAGCTCTGAAAACCAGCCTTGAAAGCTTCATTAGACTGCTTTAGACTTCCGGAAAACATACTGAAGGAAGAGACATCGTCCAAGCCTCCATGAAAAATACTTTGCTACAATTGTCATTATTCTAATAATTTCCCACAGCTTATTCACTAAAAAATGAATGGATTTTAGCAGATGGAATTTGAAAGACAGGTAACAGTATAGGAATCAGGGAGGAATCATATCTGTATTTTCTATAGCAGAGCAAATTTTACAAGAGGCATTTAAAAATATTATTATTTATTACATATTTGTCACTTTGTATCTCGGCTGTAGCTCCCCACCCCCTCATCTCCTTAAGGACTCACCCTACCTCCCTCTTCCCCCTCTATGTCCCTCCCCTAGTCCACTGATAGGTAAAATAGGGAATGTCCTCCTCCCCCGCTTTCTGACCCTAGCCTGTCAGGTCTCATCAGGACTGTCTGGATCCTCTTTCTCTGTGGCCTAATAAGTCCACCTCACCAGGGGGAAGTGATCAAAAAGCAGGCAACTGAGTTCATGTTAGAGACAGCCCCTCCTCCTCTTACTAGGGAACTCACTTGGATACTGAGCTGCCCGTGGGCTACATCTGAGCAGGGTGTCTAGGTCCTTTCCATGCATGGTCCTTGGTTGATTCATCAGTCTCCGCAGGTCTCCCTGGGCCTGATTTTTTTGGCTCTGTTGGTGTCCTTGTGGAGCTCCTGTCAAGGAGCAATTTTTTACTTTGTACCACGTTAGTCTTTGGGACAACTCACCACTCCAAACTATCTTTTCCTCCTACCAGTGAATAATTCTGACTTTTATAATTTTCTGTAAAAATTTAAATAGCACTCATGCATACATTCATTTATGTATTTGTTCACACAACCTAGTTAGTAAAACTCTGGGTTCCCACCACATATGAAAGGGACAATCTTTTGCCTTTTATATGCTCATAGCATGTAAGTAAATAAGCCATCTATTACAACATCATTTAATGGATGTTAACAGAGTGATAAGAAAACATGGAAACGGAAACTCTAGTGTTATGCCTCAAAGACCATGTGACAAATGCCATACAGGATGGATTTTTAAATGGGGTAAAATTATGCTTTGTACACATAGCAATTTTTAAGATGAAGATATAATGGATGGAACGCGTCATTCAGGGATGTGGATCATACCAATGGCACTGAGGAAATATGGCCCTTACCTGTTAGACATGGAGCATGAAGGAAGGAAGATATGTTGCCCCTTTAAAGGGAATACAGGCCAAGAACCCTGGAATAGGGTGACCAGTCAGGAGGGCACAACTAGACCATCAAGAACCTAAAACAGGTATTTTGACATTGCTAGGAATCAGCAAACTATAATCTGCATTTGTATGTATTTTGCTTGGGATTTACTGAACACCTTTTTTGTATTATAGTAAATTGTTGCATGCACTTTAGGGAGTTTACAACTATGTGAGGATGAATGCCAACAGTACAAATGGGGAAAAGGAAAGTAGTTATACAACTCAGAGGGCAATGAGAGAGCTGCTACCTTGTCTCTCCCTAAGTGGCCAAAATGTACAAAATGTTGCCATTGTAATGTCTTCCCAAGATTCCTGAGGCTTGGCCTCTTGTTCCATTAAATTCTTTCCTTTTTCCTGGCTTTGGCAGGTGTAGGGGGAGGCCATAAGTGAAGAATTGTTTTGGTAAGATTAAGGTAGGGTTTGCATTTGTTTTATCATTGAAGTCAATGTTTTAAGCAAGTGACTTTCTGACAAGTAAAGGGAAGTGAATGGTTCTGTATCACTATCAAAGAACCCATTCACATACATCTTCCCAATCTATCGTTTGATATGTAAAGCTTGTAAAGACTTTGATCTTGTATGCACTTCCCATAAGTCTTGTATGCATTATTAATAAAGCTCTGTGACTGGAAGCTTCCATCACTGCAATGACTCTTAGAAAGCTTGGGCTCATTCATCCTAAAATGCACAGGAATTTGTCACAGTTTTAACATATGCCTTCTTCTTGCAGATGGTTGAAAAAGAGGGGTATCTTCAAACAGCCAAAATTGCAGATGGAGGAAAGAAACTAAGGTAATAAAAGTCCTTCAACTCTGTTACATAACTACACAGTCTTGCATTTCCTCAGTTCATGTCACCGCTGTTGTTTTAGAAGAAAGGCCTCCCAGACCTAACTAGAACACTTCCTTCTGTTACCATAGTTGACACTCTTACTGGTAAAATAATTATACTTTTTAAAGAAAGATATTGCATTCTATAATGTTGCCCAGAATGTAAAAGTGGCTGATGTCTTGTCTTCTTAGGACTAGAAATCTTAAAAACATAAAAAGGGAAATATAATTTCTAGATTAACAGATTGGTTTGTTGAATTAATTCATTTGCAGCACATAAAGATCTCTATGTAATACCCTGGAAAGTTTTTTTGAAGGATGGGAGATATAAACCATATTTGTTGTTCAAGATAAAATCATTTAGAAAAAATGAAAAAGGAAAGGAAAATCATGAACAGAGTTTAGGTGAGGGAAATTTACAAATGATGAAGGACTCTGACGTGAAGGGCAGGAACAACAAAGATGTTCAAGAAAGAAGAACAAGTTAATTGTTGGGTCAAGAAAGGTACTGGCAACGCTGTTTATAGGCGGGATTCAAAATAGTCAAGTCTGTTTTAGAATTTTTGCTGTTTCTTACATCAAGTCTATTCTATTTTTAGTTTAATAGTATGGAATATACAAGTAATAAAGGTACATGGCAGTACTCAAAGTAGGAGACATTCACTTGTGAGGGTATTACTGTTATATTTAAGAAGAAAAAAATATCCTAATTTGCTTCACAATGGAACAATAGGTAATAGCAACAACTTGTTACTAGAAAGATGTTCTGGGTAACACTAGAAAATATAATATTCTTTGGTTTGGTGGCTATCATGGACAGTGTTTATATTTTTTTGAAAGAAGTAAAATGTAGTGTTACTCATAATTCCAGTGCTTACAAATAGCCATTCTAATTTTAAATAGGAAATAGGGCTAGAACATTCTCAAAGACTATTTATTGGCAATAGCCCGGCAGCCACCCTCCCTCAAAAGTACCAGAAAGGCACAAGGTCAAATGCCAAGCAGCTTTGCTCTTAGCCTTCACTGTCCTGTCCAAAGAGAACTGCCCGCCAAGCTTTAAAAGAGCAACAGGTGATATTAACTGACTGACTAGCCCAGCCTGGGTGCTCTTCTTTTCCTAGACCTCATCCCACGTCATCAAACCAGGTGTGCCGATGATGTAGCAGCAATGACACTGTCAAAATGTATATATACTCTCTAATCTCACCAACCATATGTGCTCCCAGCCCCACCTCTACTCAAGACCCTCCAGCTGAGTCCATCCTCCCCTGGAGTTAGGGTGGCCAGAGATGTAAGCACTGGCCAGTGTTACTCTCCAGCATCACAGAAAACAGGGCGGTCATGAAAACAAGGTGGCTCTGTGAAGCACCCTCATCTGTACTCCATTAGCCAACCTTGTAGCATAGTCTCCTAGAATTGGGGGGCCTTAAGCATGCAGAGGCAGAGAGCAGCCCCTTTTCTTGCCAACTTTCATGAACCCAGTGCACACTGTTCAGTGTACATACTACCATAATGAACTTGTGTACAGTGTCTTCATAGAAGCTTAAATTCATATGAATATTGGTCTGAATTCTATTGATTGTTCAATAAGTGTGTGTGCCAGAATACATTCTTCAGATTTTTTTAATTTTTAAATTAATTTTTTGTTTCATTTTTTTAATTTTTTAATTATTTTTTAGTTATAGTTTATTCACTTTGTATACCAGCTGTAGCTTCCTCCCTCTTCCCCTCTCAATCCTCCCCACCCTCCCTTATGTCCTCCTATGCCCCTGCCCCAGTCCACTGATAGGGGAGGTCCTCCTTCCCTTCCATCTGATTCTAATCTATCAGGTTTCATCAGGACTGCCTGCACTGTCTTCCTCTGTGGCCTGGTAAGGCTGCACCCCCCTCAGAGGGAGGTTATCAAAAAGCATGCCACTGAGTTCATGTCAGAGACAGTCCCTCTTCCCATTACTAGGGAACCCACTTGGACACTGAGCCACCATGGACTACATCTATGCAGGGGGTCAAGGTAATCTAGAATTGTCCTTGGTTAGAGTATCAGTTTCCAAAAAGACTCCTGTGCTCAGATTTTATCTCTCTTTCTCCTTGTGGAGCTCCTGTTTCCTCCAGGTCTTTCTATTTCCCCCTTCTTTCATGAGATTCCCTGTACTCTACCCAAAGTTTGGCTATGAGTCAGCCTCTGCTTTGATACCCTGCTGGGTAGAGTCTTTCAGAGTCCCTCTGTGGTAGGCTCCTGTACTGTTCCCTTTTTTCTCCCTCTTCTGATGTCAATCTTGTTTGCCTCTCTGAATGAGGATTGATCATCTTACCCAGGGTTCTCCTTCTTGCTTAGCTTCTTTAGCTGTACAGATTTTAGTATGATTATCCTATTTATAAATTATAGTTTATTTACTTTGTATCCCAGCTGTAGCCCCCTCCCTCGTACTCTCCCAATACCACACTCCCTGCCTCTTTTCCTTCCTTCCTCCTCACCAAGTCCACTGATAGTGGAGGTCCTCCTCCCCTTCCCTCTGACCCTAGCCTATCAGGTCTCATCAGGAGGGGCTGCATTGTCTTCCTCTGGTAAGGTCTGGTAAGACTGCTCCCACCTTTAAAGTTTTATAAGTGTACTCACCAGTTAAGATAGCTAGAGCATTTGCTATGTGCCACTGCCAGGCTCTCTGTGATGACTGCAGCATGTCATCCAAGTTTATTCTGTATTGCAGAAAGGATCTCATTTCTCTATACTCCAATCCAACAGTCTACTTCTACTACTGTCAAATATGTGGCCACAGAGTGTTCCCTAGATGTTGCTTCCATTCCCATTTCACTGATTGGTATTACAGTTGAGGGTGACGTTAATTATTCATCTAGAGTCACTCAAATTCTGTGTCTCAAAAATTGATTATTCACGAGCTTTGACTATTATTTATTGAGTACCCTGCTTTTTTAATGTTTGAGGGAATGCATAATATGTTTAATATATTATAGAGACTTGTTAGTTTTAGACATTATAAATAGCTTCTCTAAATTTTGTGGAGTTTGTTCTCACATTTAATATAGATACCTTGAAGAACATTTTAATTTTAATAGTCACCATTTATTATACACTTGGTATCCTTCCCTGTTCATGCACTGCAATATGCCAAATAATTTATACATTCTTTTTATTTAATATTAATTTGAGTCAAGTTTTATACAAGAAGTGCTATAACTGCAGTACACTTGATAATTATTGTCATTTTCTGTTTATATTTTCTAAAGATTAATTCTCAGCCTGGATTACCTGATCAAATTGCATGGCTGCTCAGGAATGTTAGGGGCTAGGGAAGTGACATGACGGGTGACACTGTTTCCTGCCCAGGGACCTGAGTTCCAGTTCCCAAACTCCACTGGAAAATGGCTGGCAGAGTTAGAGACAGGTGTGTACGAGGAGCTCAGTGCCTGTTAGCCCAGCAAAAAACAAAACAGAATGATAGAGGACGTCTAGCACCTTCTGTGCACACAGGAGCAGGCACCTACATGCTTGCAAACAGGTGTGTGAGTGCAAGCAGACATGTGTAACCCCTCTCACACCCACACGATAAAGAAAAGAACCCTGCTCCTCTTACTATATGCGGCTATTGCACGCCCAAAGTCTGTACTTTTAGCAGCAGCAGCAAAAGGGTCGGTTTGGTCGTAACCTTGAAAAATTATGGAGGTTTTGTCCCATGGATAATTTAGTAAATATTAAATGATGTCACCTAGTTACCCTAATTTGTATTGCTTGTATGAGATCTTTCTATGGGCTGTTTCCCATTTATCAAGGACCTTATATCATTTTAATAAAATTTAATGAGCTAATAAGCAGCAGTAGTAAGTGATTATTCTGTCAAGCACACGGTTGATTGTGATGGTAGTGATAGTTAAGTCATATTGGGTTATAGGAGTCATGATGATTTCCTGTTTTTCAAGTGTAAAATTTGTTGTCTTCTTAACTGCTCATTTCTCCAGAGTCTTGCAGATTTAGTCACTCAGCGTCTAACCTTGGCCCGCTTGAAACCTAATTGTTTTCTTGTTCTTGCTTTAAGCTGTATGGGGCCAAGGAGCAAGACCTGTTCTTTTGTTTCCTTACAACCTTGATCCCAAGAACTTCAACTGTCATTTAATAAATACCACTGTTGAGACTTCTGCAAAGTTTTCTATGTATAAACCCATACTGTGTAATCTACATCTTATATCGTTGCTTATTTGTGACTTGTCTTTGTTATCTTTTTTTATTTGTCTTTATTTCCTTCTGTTGTGTGCTTTATTTCCCACTAGGAAAAACAAATAGTACTCATGTGAATAGGAGAAGGTGGCAGGAAGAAGAAGTTGTTGGCTCAATCTTACATTCATAAAGGGGCCCAAACTTAGCCTTATTTTGAAATGAGGTTATACACATTTCCCTCGTGATGCACTGACAGGCTTGAAAGCAGAATTCATTCAGCATTCAACTTTAATTTTTAATTATGAACCTTGAAATTATGCCTCAGCTTTTCTGATGAATCTTGGGAACCTTTTCATTTAGGGAATTTCATCCTCAAAGCTGTAAGTAACCCTGGCGTGTCTGAAGATGCATGATGACTTAGTAATAGTTTTTTTGGTTGGTTTGTTTTATTCTGGCTTTCTAGTTCCTGGAGCTTAATTTTACATAAGGCACCTGTGCATTTGCTCATGTGAGTTCAATATCTCACATGTCTGTGCACACACATCTTTCCTTTGTCCCTGTGACTCTGCAGATCTCATCCATTTTGTTCTCACTTTGCCCTTCAGAAGGGCATGAATGGTGCGAATATGGACAGAAAATAAAAAAGAAAATCTGTAAAGGTTTGCAGTGGTCACATTTACAAGTGCCTGCATTCATCACAGGCTCAGTGCCCTTAGACTGTGATTGTGTGTGTGTGTGTGCGTGTGTGTGCGTATGTGTGCGCGCGTGCGCACTAATTATTGTTGTCAGTA